CTAATTTGGATTATAGAGACGGCTCCAACGTTTGGGACAAATTCCGAATAATCACGGGTCAAAAAACTAAATCACACTACCACCTCCAAATCGACAATCAAATCCTCTCAACCCCCGACGAAAAAGCCTTAGCCCACAAAACCCACCTTGAAGCCACCCTTCAGAACCCTAGACAACCCCCACTTTGACGAACAATTCAAACACGAGACCGAACAATACGTCCTTCAGACACTCGCCGCCCCATTCCCACCTATGGATGTCGAAAACCCCCTCATGTCTCCATTCACCCTCCAAGACATCCAATATGCCTGCCAAGCAGGCAAAAACACGGCCTTCGGGCCAAACTCCATACACAGAAGAACACTGAAGCATCTTCATGAAACCATCTTTCCCATCTTCACCCTTATCCTAAACTCCTGCCTCTCCCTATCCTATTGTCCACTTGCCTGGAAATCCGCAAACACCATTTTGATCCCCAAACCAGGCAAAGGCCCCAAATCCGTAAATTCATACAGACCCATCTCTCTCATATCAGTCCTAGGGAAACTCCTCGAGCTTCTGCTCAAGGAAAGAATCTGGGAATTTTGTGAAGAAAGAAACATCATACCTCAATCCCAACATGGTTTCAGACCCCACCACTCCACTCAGGACGCAATCTGCTCCCTTCACACTACTGCGGTCACAGCAGTAATTTTTTTATTTGAATTTGACAGATTTAAAACTCAATTTCTCAAAACTTACTTAATGTGGCATGTATCTAACTCTATTACGCCAAGGTCTTCAATTTTGCCATCTAGTTTAAGACGCATATATTATGAAAATGCAATTAGATGAGATAAATGTTGAATAATAGGACATAATGTATTGTTTTTTTTTAACCATTTAATAAGGCTTTTGTCTGTTTGGTTATAAATAAATAAATAAATAAATTGCCTAAGAACATATATGATTGTGAAGGGATAAGATATAAGTGAAGGATGTAATTAACTTATTATTTAAAAAAAAAATTAAGTAATATAAAATCAATCAGTCTATTACTTCTTTCATTTTTAAATTTAACTCGTCCTTGATGTATAAAAACCAATCAATAAGCCATGTGTGATGATGAAACGCCAAGTACGTTTTTCAATTGCAACAGTAAAGAAAAATAAAGAACATCCAACTCTTCTATTTATCCGTAAAATTCGATCTCACGTTATTCTTAAAACATGCCGATGTTCACTCTCAATCATGATATACGTGAAGCTCTTTCTTATTTTGTTTTTATTCGTTTTTATACACAGGGCGACTTAATAAATGTTTGCGAATGGATAAGGTTTAGCACGAACTACTCCATTGAACTACGAGCAATAATTTTTGTAGAAGTCACGGGCTCGGTGGGTCTTTAATTGTAATTTTTTTTAAATATTGTAAGTAACGCAAATATCGCTATTGACGATTCAACCCAGACAACACAAATAGGTCCATTAGACATCCATTCGATATACATTTTTGGATGTGATGAGTTTTTTCTGGACTTACTATATCCAAATGGACGTCCAATCATAGATTATCTATGATAGGTACGGCATGCCCGCCCACCAGATAAAAAGATAGAAAACGAAACGATCACAGCAACGATGGCGTCATCTATGCGTCTCAGATGTTATAACAGTTTATAAAAATAAAAATGTCAATTAATTGCATGTTTATATCGTAGAATCCTGAATATGAATTTTAAATTTTGAATTCATTAATGGTTTATATTGTAAGGAGAACAAACGAAATGGTTGTGGTTATTTTTATGTGAAATTGGAGGACAAAAATTAAATTTTGTAATATTACAATAATGAGTCGGAGCACTTATTGCATTATTAATACATGCCACATGAATAGATTTAACAACCCCAATAAGGCGTTCTTTAATTTACCAATTTTTGTCACAAAGTGTTTATTTATTATTGTTTATTGTTTTAAAGCAAGAAAATATTTTCAAAACGTTGGAGAGAAGATTTGATATAGGAAGAAAAATACATGAATTCCCATTATGAAGTTTACAGTCAAATTAGAGATCGTTAACATATTAAACACATTTTTTACAAACATTGGACCTAATCTTGCTAAACAAATTCAAAAACCTCCGCAAATAATAAAAATTCAATTTTCCTGAAGCCAGTCTCTGAAACAGAAATACTTCAATTAATCAATACATTAAAAAATAATAAAGCCGGTAGTGATGAAATATAAGCAGAAGTACTTAAAGAAACTTGCACTGAACTAGCTCCGCCACTATGTTTTCTGATCAATAAATTGATTTCAAATGGATTTTGTCCATCTCAATTTAAAGTCGCAATCATAAAGCCTATTCATAAAAAAGGTGATAAAAGTATATCTTCAAACTATAGGCCAATTTCATTAATTAATAATTTTGCAAAATTATTCGAAAAAGTCGTAAAAGTCAGACTTGAATCATTCCTAATTAGCGAACAAATTTTATCACCAAACCAGTTTGGTTTTCAAACGGGGAAATCCACAGAAGATGCTATATCTGCATTAATTTCAAAAATGTATGAAGCTATTGCACATACGAAACCGGCAATTGGAGTATTCTTGGATCTTGCCAAGGCGTCCGATATTGTGGATCACAGACAGTTGTTGGACGCTTTGGAGGATTCAGGAATACGTGGAACAGCTTTAAAACTATTTAAGTCATACCTTGATAATCGTACACAATATGTAAAAGTAGATAATTTTGTAAGTTCAGAACAAGTTGTGAAATGTGGTGTTCCCCAAGGAACGGTGCGGGGTCCCATCCTTTTTATTTTATATTTGAATAACTTACTAGTTTTAAACATTACTGGAACTATTCATAGTTTTGCTAATAATACAGTATTATTTTATACCGCTGAGACATGGTCAGTTTTAAAAAACAAAACAGAGGACGTCATGAAGAGTACTTTTTGATTGGTTTATTTATCATTTTTTAACAATTAATTATGAAAAAAACATGTTTCTTTATGTTTGCAGTTATAGAAATGGGATGCCTGATTACCGTGACTTAGAAATGTATAATGAACATACAAAAACCATCAAAAAAATTAAACTTACTGAAAATATAAAATATCTTGGTGTAACTTTAGATAGAGACATTTAAGATAGGATCATCACATAAATAACGTTACCAAAACCTTAAGATCCTTTCTTGGGCAATTTAAATATCTGTCGAAAGTTCTAGATCTAGTTTATTTAAAAATGCTCTACTATTCATTGGTAGAGTCTAGATTATGATATGGTATTTTAGCTTGGGGCGGAACTGTAGACCTATATTTGGATAAAATACAAATTTACAGAAATATTTTTCAAAAACAATATTAGGAAAAAACAGGACTTACCTTTCGGACCAGCTCTTTCATGAGGCATTTGTACTGGTCCTTCGCCAAACATTTTTTTTTTAAACTCTTACTTATTTAAACATAAAAAAACCTTTATTATCATTTCTCATTCATATACAAAAAGAGCCAAAAGTAATAATAATCTTGTAGTTCCGAACGCACAAAAACAATTGGACAAAGAAATTTTAAATATTTAGCACCTCGTTTCTACAACTTTTTACCAGATTATTTTAAAAACTCATTCTCATCAAACCATTTTAAAAAAAGCATTAAGTTTTTTTTGTTATCTAATGATAGACAACTAATTTCTCACTTTTTCATTTCTCTCATTAATGCGTTCTTTTACCAATTTGTTGTTTTTAATATTTATTATGTGTCTTATTATTGTGTTTAATTATGTATTGTGTTTATAAGAAAATTCAAGTTAATTTCTTATCAAATTATTTACCATTTAGTTTAATGAAAGTATAGTAGGTAACCTGCTTCTCCTATATTTTTGTGACATACTGTACTTTGCCAAAATGTTTTAGAATTATTAATTACAATTTAGAAAGACATCCAGCCCCGCAATTTACTTGATATATCAATTTAAAATCAAACAATATGCAATACTTTTAAAATTAAGTATACCATTAGTTTTAATTCAATATTTTTAATTTATTAATTTTAAATAATAATATGAAATACATACCATAATTACATAATTATATTTTATTATATGTTACGATTTGAAATATAACTGATACCACGGACAGCCCGCTGTCTTTGTGGTTCTCTAGTTTATTAGTAATTGTATTGTATAACTAAATGTATAGTAAAATTGTATTGTAAATTATATTAATCTTGCTAATAAACAATATTATTATTATTACTCACATCTCAGGGTGCTTCAATAACCATAATATTATCAACAAGACCTCAAGTAGAATCCTAATTTGTCGCTGAATATTTTTTAATATTCTTGTCTTTCTTAACTACAAAAATTGGATAGTATTTACCGCAATTTATAAAATTTTAATCGCGCCTTCTGTCAATATTTATTTATTGTACCTCTTCTTACATGCCCACTCTTTTTATAAACTCCCCTGTCTTGTACCTTTGTCAATAACCATTAATCATTATTATACTAAACTCAGTTTTAATTAATTACCATTGGGGCAGATCCAATTCTGTTGAATTATTATATATTCAGCACACTATAGGCAACATACAATACACAGATTCGCTAAGTTGGTCACATAACATTCAGTTAAACCCTCAATTATTTCTATTATTTCCCATTTTAGTTAAATGGTTATACATTATACATAATTAAATAATTATAAGAAAATTTAAAGTAAATTTCTTATCAAATTAGTTACCATTTAGTTTAATGAAAGTATAGTAGGTACCTGCTTCTCCTATATTTTTGTGACATACTGTACTTTGCCAAAATGTTTTAGAATTATTAATTACAATTTAGAATGACTTCCAGCCCCACAATTTACTTGTTATATCAATTTAAAATCAAACAATATGCAATACTTTTAAAATTAGGTATACATATTCATTTTAGTATATTTTTGTTATACTTTTCGGAGTGTACATATCTGCATTTGCTGCAACCCGCATTGTTTTAGTTTGAGAACAGTGCTGCCAACCGGTATCTATCAAAATCTGTTGTTTTATTTATAATAATATTTATTGTTGTAGGTAAGAACAATAAGCACTAATAATACACAGATAAGTCTTTAATATTTAATAGCGGGGAATAGAAAACGTTTGTTGAAGTTGTATAATGCGAATATTTGTTGAAAATATAGTTTCTCCATCTTGAAATATGTTGGCAACATGGCGACGCCAAACAGAAGATGAGGTATAATGTACATCTGTGACAGTAGCAAAATTGTTGCTATTTTCTCTGAATAAAAACACTGAGCATAAGTAAGTACTCTATAATTATGTGATATTTTATTAACCGATACCTCCAGATCGTTCCTTTAAGGCAAACATTAGACAACCTCTGTGTTTCTGTTTATTGCGTATAGAACATTACAAATAAAAATTGGTGTTTTTGTGTCAAGAGTTTTAACAAATTTAACAAAAATAAGCTTCAGATCGCTGCAGTTTCTTTCCCTCTATTGCAACAAAACTAATAACATATTTATTTCAGGTGCATTATATCTTTTAAGTTTGAAGTAATCAAAAAAAAATGAGTGAAGAATTGTCTATGGACTATAAAGACGGTGATATCGTCTGGGTGAAACTAGGCCCGAGCTGGTGGCCGGGTGAGGTTAGAGATTTAAATAACATACCCTCAGATGAAATCGAATTCAAAAAACCACCTTTAGCTGTAGTGAAATTTTTCGAAGAAGATACATAGTAAGTAACTAATAGTTTAGTGTTTGTCTTATTAAATATTAAAAAGAAATATAAAATTGATATTACTAGATGTACTTATGTATTACTATAAAAAAATGACATGTTTGCTTGTTCTTGGCTTGTTTCTATGATACCTACTAGATAATCAAAATGTTAGTTACATTGAATTTTTTCTACTTTCCTGTGTAGAAAGAAGGTTTTACGTTGTTTGGTTTCAAAAAAAATTTTACTGTTTTAATCTACTTTTATCCCACTATTCCACTCACTATTTCTATTGTCAGTACTTGAACAGTTTCACATGTTTTGCTTAATAATAATAATACTCAATAATCCTTTTAGATCATATACATGATATAGAATAAGTCATTTACATGTGAAGATGTACAAAAGTATACATTTAGAAAACAGATATAAAATCTAACACATTTAAATATACAATTTAACAATAAATACGCAAAATTAAGACTGATATTCTTGAAAACACCATATGACATAGACTGTACCTTGTACCGCAAAAACTACAGGAGAAATTCATGAACTATAGGGGCATTTTTGGGATAAATAGCTTTTTAATTTGCATTTAAATGAGCTCAGACTATTAATTTGTTTTAGAGAGGTAGGTAGATGATTGAATATCCTTATTCCACTATAGTATTAACTTTTTTCAAACATGCTTGAAACTTGAGGGAATATGTGTAGTACTATAATTATGGTTGTCTGAGTTACAGGTAAATTTGGAGATGTTTGTTTTAACGTATATAGCACATTTGAGAATATATATTGCTGGAAAAGTCAGTATATTATATCTTTTAAAAAGATCTCTACAGATACTTCTAGTATCTAGGTTAAAAATTAATCTTATTAGTCTTTTTTGACAAACAAAGATGTATCGGTTGTATTTCCCAAAAGCAATATGTTGTAAACTAAATGTGAATATGCCATCACATAGTAAACTTGAAAAAGCTATTTGGTGTCCACCATATTTTTTAATTGGAGAATTGCATAGTATGCACTATTTATTTTTTGCAAACGGAGTCAGTATTGGATAATAGTTTAATAGTTATAAGTTACAATGAGTTATAATAATAAATAAGTTACAATAAAGTACAATAATGGAAACCAATTAGATAATAACAAGCACCTAGGTGAGAACACCTGTATGTGCTGACAAAAATTAAAATTTTATTTTAATTATATTTACTGAATTATAAAGGAAATAAAAAAAAAGAAACTTTTTTTTAATAAAAAATAAAACATTTTAAAAATATCCATGATTTAAGTCCGTTATTCTTGGAATATTCTGATAAACTTTGCATTATTTTGGAAAATGTATATTTTGCTAACTTTACAGAATTTTTTTATATTTGTTTAATAATTTTATATAAAGAGGTAGAGCGTTATAGAACTTTGTCCCTAGATAATTTACACTGTTTTTAAAAAAGTCACTATTTGGTTTTGGTACTTTAATGCACATGTTCGATGCAGTTCTAGTGTTATGTCTATGCTCTAAAGGGTTTTTTTTTTAAATTATTTTTTTTTATATAACAACACACTGCCTGAATATATAAATATCTAACATGGCTAATTTTTCATTATATAAAGTTATGGTGGGACACAATCTATCTCTTTCATATATTAACTTCAAGATTTTGTTTTGAATAACATTTAACTGATTTAATGTAGTTCCATACAGGCAGGCCTGCCCATACTAAGATTCCATACCATAGTATAGATTCTACTAGACTGTAGTAGATCCTGGTTGAGAAATTGTTTTAGAAGATAAAATTTATAAATCAGAAATCTAAGTTTTTTTGCTATATATATTATATGGCAGTCCCATTTTAAGTGCTGGTCTATAATTATACCTAAATATTTGGATGTTTCTGTTTCCTGAATGTCTAAATGTTAAGCTTCTAAATTAAGGTCGATCAGCCACTGTCTTTGAAAAAGCAATGTAGATTGTTTTGTTAACATTCAAAGACAATTTAAAAACATCCAGCCAGTTTTTGACATGTTCCATTCCATCTATAGCACATGTCTTGATGGCTTCCCAATCTTTATCACTAAAGACTAGCACTGTATCATCAGCATATGATACAACTTTACCTTGAATATCAATCTGAGTTAAGCTCTTAATGTATAAATGAAATAGTATAGGTCCCAGAACAGTCCCTTGAGGCACTCCGATTTGTATATTTTCAGGGTTATTCACATTGTCTCTGACCTTTATCTTCTATTGTCTGTGTCAAATAATTTTCAAAAACTTTCAACACGATGCCCCTCACTCCATTCTGTTCAAGAACATTTAAGAGCTTCTGTGTCAAATGCTTTTGCTAGATCTAGAAATATAAGCTATACACTTGTTACCAGTATTCACTTCATCAGTAACATATGAAATCAATTCATGCATAGCATCTCCTGAGTTAAGACCCTCAGTAAAGCCCTATTGGTGCTTGGGAAGTAAGTCATTAGTTTTTAAAAAATCTGTCAGTCTATCTTTCACACATTTCTCAAATATTTTGGCCACATTACTGATTAAACTAATAGGCCTATAGTTAGTTATTAATTTTGGATTACTAGCTTTATAAATAGGTGTTATAATTGAAGTTTTAAATTGTTTAGGTATGATTCCTGTATTAAAAATACAATTAATTATATGCATTAAAGGTTCCAGTAAATACGGATGTAGTAGTTTCAGATGTTTTACTGTTATACAATCAAATCCCAGGGCACTATTGTTTTTTAAACTATTTATGTGTTTTATAATATCATTTTCGCATATCGGTTTCAGAAACATTGATTTTTCAGTGACACAGGAAAATCCACATTACATTCAGGGATGTTTGTGAACATATTAGTGGCAATAGTCGAAAAGTAGTTATTGCAGTAATTCATCATTTCATTATCATTTTCAAATTCCTCGTTATGTTGGTTAACAATCTGTAAATTGGTATTATTTTTTTTATGATTTTCATTAGTTGCTTCAGAGATTAATTGATAAGTTTTTTCAGTTTTATTTTGGTTTATTTTATTGTTATATTAGCCATTTTTAGTTTTTGATATTAGTTTGTTTAAATTATTTCTAAATGTTTTATAGTGAGTTTGTTTGTTAATAGTATAGTTTTTTTGTAGATCTTTTTTAAGTTTATCCCTAGTTTTAATAGAAGTAATTAAACCATTTGTTATCCATGGCTCTATTTTTTATTGATTTTAATTTTAATATTTTGAGTGGTTTGACATGTTTTAATGATATTAAGATACCTGTCATAAAAAAGTTGTGTTGCAATTTCTGGATTATTTTCATTGCAAACACTTTCCCAATTTACAGTTTCGAATTTTTGTTTTAATTTATCAGTATCGATTTTAGTTATAGTTTTATATGTATTGTTGGAACTAACAATTCTGAGCTGTCACAAGCTTTAGTAAGCCAATACAAATTTTTAAGATCATTACCTGTATGTATAATGTTTTTGTTCTGACAAGGGGACAAGTTACATTAATATGATATGAAATGATTCTAAAGAATGTATCAAAAACATCTAACTCATACACGGGCGAAAAATTTTCATTATTTAATTTTGCATTAAGATTTGCTAATTTTGTAAAAGAAAAGTCTCTAAAAGTTATTATTTCATTGTTAATTTTGCTTTGTGCACATGGGATGTTTCCAGGCATAATATCCAAGCCAAAATGATCACCTAGATTAAAATCAACCACAGTTTCAGTATACAGGGTGTTTCATAATATATGCGCAGGACTTCAGGACATATGAAAAAATAGGAAATATGAAAAAACGTTTCTATTAACTTACCCTCTAAAATGCACCATTTTCGAGATACAGGGTGTTGAAATTGAAAAAAAAAAAAAATTTCTACGCCACTGGAAAAAGTACGGTTTTGAGACGCCCATTTGAACCGACAATGTTTTCTACACAAAAAAGGTACTCTTGGTCATACGTTCTAAAGTCGACCGTTTTCGAGAAAAATCAAATTTTAATGTTGAAATACATGGTCATACATACTTGATGAAACAAAATTTGATTTTTCTCGAAAACGGTCGACTTTAGAGCGTATGACCAAGAGTACCTTTTTTGTGTAGAAAACATTGGCGGTTCAAACGGGCGTCTCAAAACCGTACTTTTTCCAGTGGCGTAGAATTTTTTTTTTTAATTTCAACACCCTGTATCTCGAAAATGGTGCATTTTAGAGGGTAAGTTAATAGAAACGTTTTTTCATATTTTTGGACGAGCTATCACGTCCTGAAGTCCTGCGCATATATTATGAAACACCCTGTATATGGGAAAATTTGTTAAAAAATAGTCTATTTTAGATTTATTAATGCGGTTGTTTTTATCTTTACATACCCGCGTGGTGTCGTGATTCTGACAAGTTAGGATAAAAGGTCAGTAAGGAGATGTTTATTATAAGAATCTGTTAGAAAGTCAATGTTAAAATCTTCACATAAAAATACAGCATCATAAAACACAACAACACAATTTAAAATATATGACAATTTTTTAATAAAAAGTTCAATATTTCCAGAGGGAGATCTGTAGACGTTTATAATAATAGAGTTTATATTCTTTACAGAAAACAATATAGCACAGCTTTCGAAATGTATTTCTTCTGATATCCTATGTATACAATTTACTGTCTTATATGTAATGGTTTCTTTTATTAAAATAAGTGATCCACCACGAATTTTGTTGCTTCTAACGTACGAATCTGACCTTTTTTATCTTTGTTTCATCTTTTTCCAGTGTTAACAATATTTTTTTTTTGGTCTTTCCACACCATTACCTATAATAAAATAAGCTGCCTTGTTTATTTAACTAGTTCTACCAATTTCTTATTTTGTGTAAATTACTATATCATTTTATCCTAAAAATAAAATTGAACGTGTCTGGTGTTCATTTCTTTTTGTATACCAATCTCCTGTTTATACAGTTTTTCACAAATCCATATTTTATATTCTATTGGCTACTTAGAAAATATTTAATG